TCCGCTGCGCGCAGCACGCCGAGACGCCTGGGAAGGGCTGGGGCTTGAACTGCGGCGGACAATGGGTGTTGCCGGCGCGGCCGCCTCCGGACGGTGGGCTGGCTGCGCGCTGGCTGTCTCTCTCGCGGGGCGTTCCGTCGGGGTGCGAGAGAGACACGGCGACGGTCCGGAATGGCGCTACTGGTGACGGCCGCGTCGCCGCGTCGTTCCCGCGTAACCCGCCACCCCTTTCCCCGGAAGGCCCGGAAGTGTATCCAGTGTATCCAGCGAAGCCCCGGAGCAGTGAGGAGCCAGCCAAGTTTGTTGGCCAAGACCCCAGGCCCCGAGGCGCGGAGGGCCTCCCGGAGGACCTGCCCACCACTCACAGCACTGTGCGGTTTCGCCGACGTTCTGTCTCTCTCGCACTCGAGGGCCGCGTCGTACGCGTGGGAGAGAGACAGCGCGACGAGCCGCACCGCAGGACCGGCCTGATCCTCTCTGCGCAAACAGCCGCGAACTCTCGGATCAATTATTAAACTTGTAATACATGGCTGTGCTCGCCGCCGCCTCGCAGCGCGGCACGGCGCGCGGCACGGCGCGGCACGGCGCGGCACGGCGCGGCACGGCACAGCGCCCCGCGGCGGCGGGGGGAGCGGGCGCCACTGTGGCGCTTCCAGGACACCACGAGGCAGGCTCGAAAACCGCGTGCGGTCAGATGGCATCTCTTTCAAGGACCATTTTCTCCTGGAAGCTTTACAGTGGCGTGTCAGCCTGTCGCGGCACACCTCAGCGGGCGAGTCAGCGGGCCTGTGGCTTGGCCTGCGGCTTCAGACCCCGGGCCGGGAGAGACGCGCTGGACGCGCTGCCGGAGACGCACCCCAATCAATACTCTCCCCGAATCTTCTCTGCCCCTCCACTCCGGCTCTTCTCTGCGGCTCCCCCTCCCCTCCCGTCCCGTTCTCCGCGACTCCCTTTCGCCGGCCTCGGCTGCCTCGCTGCCTCGGCCCCTCTTGCTCTTCCCCCGCCGCGCCGCCGCTTCGCCCTTCCGTCCTCGCCGCCATGTTGCCCTTCTATCTTCGGTTTGTCTCGCAGATCGTTGCGCTTGGCTTATCCCTCCGTGGGAGAGGAGGGGGACGTTGCTGCGCTTTGCGGTGACAGGCTGGTGGGGGAACGATATACCGCAGACGGTGTGGCTGTGCGCGGGCGGATATTCTTTTCGGCGAGGAAGGAGAGAAAGCTGAATCCGGTGCTTCAGTGGTGTGTCTCTCTCGCACCCCTGGGGGACGCCGCGTAAGTGCGAGAGAGACACAGCGACGAAAGCAATGTTCGGAGTCAAACCGCAGAGAACGAGCAGCAGGGATCGTTCTGGATTTTTCCTCTGGATTTCCACGTAATCTGTCTTTGCTCCTCGAGCTCCGTCGTGCGGGTGCCTGGCCTGTCAGCAGCCCTCAAGACACGACGGCCACCTCGACACATTTCCGTGGGAAAGGGCTCTTTTTACGGTGTGGCGTCCCCACCTGCTCGAGGCTTCGGCGGTTGCGGCCCTACACGACGAGACGGCGCTCAACGAAATGCAGAAAATGGCGAAACCACGCGGAACACGTCGGTGGCTGAGCAGTTTCATGTCGACCGGCATGCCAGCATGGCCAGCATGGCCAGCACGGCCAGCATCGCGATGGAGGCGACCGCGCGACCGCCTCGCCGTTCGCTGCTTTTATTGCGATATAAAGGGCGTGTCTTTCGGCCGCCCCTGATTTACACTGCAGCCCTAAAGTTATTTATTCACGAAAAGGGACTGCAGGCGGGGCCCCGGGCGGCCCCCCTCGGTGCAGGCCTTACGCGTTATCATCGCGACCTCCGCGGAATATAAATGGCTCAATCTTGTTGCCGCCTTCCTGTGTCGCCCTCGCGCCCTTTTCGCGCAGCGCGCGCAGCGGAGACAAGTTCGGCGTATCTGCGCTTATCGCCGCGAATACCCCGCGCGGCTCGCGCGGCGGCAGGGCCTGGGGAGGGCTCGGCGTCGATGTCCCTGCCGCGCGGAGTCTCGTCGGTATCGTCCGCCGACCCCGCCACTATAAAACCGAGTAGAGGGACCGGACACCACCGTGTGAGATAGAGCGGCGATTTTTTTAACAAGTTGAATTTTAGGCGTTGACCCCGCCTCATAGCAGTAAAAGCGCTACAAGCGCGCCGCGGCGGAGGAGCTATTCGAAAGCAGAAAGGGAAGAAGGGGAGGGGGAGGCAGATAGGCGAACGGGGTAGTTGCGGCGGCCGAGCGCGCGGCTCCCTGTTATTAGCGCGAAGATTTGAATCGATTTCATAATAAACCAGCGGCAATATTTTTATAAGACATGAACGGGGACGGAAGTCGCGGCGGCGGCGGCGCGACGAGGCCGCGGCGGAGGGGGCCGCCAAGTCGCCGCGCCGCGCTCGATACTCAGAAGAGTCACCCGCGAGGACGCCGTCGACGCTGTCCTGGAGCTGGCCGTCGACGCTGTCCTGGAGGAGTCCGTCGACACCGCAGTCCTGAAGGTCTCCTTCGTCGCTGTTCTGCCGGTGGCCGTCAACGCCATCCTGGAGAAGGCCGTCGACGCCGTCCTGGAGGTAGCCGTCGAGGCTGTCGGTCGTCGTGGCCGCCGATGAGGACGGCTGGGCGCGCACCGCTTTGCGCAGCCTTGCAGAAGGGCCGATGCCTGCTAATAGCCATCTGCAATTAGCTTTGCGTATTACCATAGTAATGGGCGGCCACTATCCGCACGCTACGCCCCGCCCGCCCCGCCTCGGCGCGGCGCCGTCAGTGTCCTTACTCGCCACTTACCCTCCGCCCGATTTTTGTCCGCCGCGCCTCGACTTGGCCTGCGCCTAATTGTAAGGATCTAACCCCCTACCGGCCTGCCGGCCACAACCCTCGGCGTCGTGGCCTCTGGGCCGGGGCCGCGGTGCGGCGGACGAACCAACGGCTTGATTTGTTTTGAATCAAGTCCTGTTTGAAGGACTCGAAAGGTGAAAACGAAGTTTCAGCCCTCTAGTCTTCCCAAGCACACCTTGCCCTTTCCCTTGCAGTTGTCGGCCACCCAGCTGCGTTGCGTCCGGGACGCGAGCCGTTTGGCGCGGAGTCAGCCTCCGGCCTCCGCTGACGAGACGACGGCCCAGACGGTCTGCTACGCCGCTCCGCCTGCTCGGGGCTCGGCTTGAGGACGAGGGGCGCGGCCCGCTAATTAAGAATGCGCGCCGCCAGACAATTAGGCGGCGAAATGAAACAATAAAAGATTCCCTTAACTTATTCGCAGACGACCACTTCTGTCTGCTGCAGATGTAGGCGAAGGGAAGGCATGCCGTTGGAGCTTTTCGCCAAGCGCTCGCTGCAGCGTGCCGCTTCCGTTTCTCTCTCTGCCCTTCTAGTGGCGGTCGTCGTCCGGCTTACGAGGTGTCCTTCGATACGCGCCCTTTACAGTGGGGGCCCTTCGGCCCTTGGTCCCTCCGGCCGCGCCAAATACGTGCGTTATGGACGGCCGGCCCTCGGCGGCCCTCGGCTGCTCGGCCCTTTTATGACTCGAGACAAAGGGACGAATTAGAGGGGAGGGCCCTCGAGGGCCGCGCTGCCGCGTCGTGCCGCGTCGTGCCTGCACTGCCGGTTGGCCGTGTTGTTCCGTTGCGCCGTTGGCCTTCATGAGTGAGGAGGCAATCTCGGACCCCGTCGTCATCGTAAAGTGTCGCAGCGTAGCACAGCGCAGCACAGCGTGCCGTGTCGCTGCGCGCCGTTCCGAGCCGCGCCGCGCGTGACGCGTGATGTGCAGCACGCAGCACGCCCTTCTCTCTCTCTCTCTCTCTCTCTCTCTCTCTCTCTCTCTCTCTCTCTCTCTCTCTCTCCTCCTTTCTCTCTCTCCCTCTGCCCATAGTGACTTCGTGCCGATATCGACGATCAAACAGAACCACTTGTGACGGTTCAAACACTGTCTTATTCTTCCGCTGCAATTTTTTTGGGAACTGTAACCTAAAAAGAGCAGAAAGAACTATTCACCGCCTGAAAGAGTCCCACGTTGTTTGCGTTGGCCGTCGTGGCCGTCAGCCTGCAGACTGATTCCGAGTCGTTTTCGTCGCTCCGTCTTTCTCGCACCCACGGGGTGCCCGCCCATGAGTGCGAGAGAGACCGCGCGACGAAAACGTCTCGGAATCAGTCTACTGGACGCCGCTAGACGCCGCCACCCCGAGCGCTGTCGTGGTGTCCGAGGGACGGCTCGGTACTGCACGCGATGTCCCCGACGACGCGTGGCGGTGACCGCCGCCGTGGTGGCAGTGCGGCGTCAGTCCTCAGCCCCAGCCCTCGCCGCTGCCATGCCCGTCATAAGGGCATCCGGTCGGCCGGGGGGAGACACCTCGGCCGCCTCCGTCGCCGTCCTCGTGCTGCACGAGGTGCGCGAGGTGCCGCGGGTGCGACAGAGCTGGCCGCGGCCGCCGCGCACGCGTCGCAGCACGACGATGACGACGCCGGCCGAGCGGTGCCGGAAGATAAGCCCGTCATGCCGAGCCTGGCCCAGGCCGGGCCGAGCCGTGCCGTGACGAGCCGCGTGCGGTCTGTCTTATCTCTAGCGAATTAATTACGCGCCTTTACGAGGCCTTGGAGGCCCTGCAGGACTTGCTGCAGTGGCGGCGGACTGCGGGAGAGGCTTGATGGAGCGACGCACCTATGCTGCACTTGGCCCACCTGGCAAGGCTGTAAGATGTGAAGGGGCCGTGCACATAGTATTCGGTAACACCCCTCGCCAGCGAGACGCCAAGCGCTAGTGAAACACACAAAAAAAAACTTGAACAAGGCGAGACAAAACTTACACAAAGTAACAATTCCGACGTTTCGATGGTCCAAGAGGCAAATTTTGCTGAAGTTTTGTGTTTGTCGACTGCTACACAACCTCCTAACTACTTGAGTGCAAATAGTCAGCTGAAACCAGATTCAGATTCACATTCAGCTGTTATTTGCACTCGAGAGGTTACGTTGCATGGCGGCAAACAAAAACAAAACAACAGCAACATGGCGCCCCTCGTACGTCGAAATGTCGAGAATTCAACTTTGGTGTGTGTTTCGTCTCGCCGCGATCAGCGTCAGCTTGTTTCTCTCATGTTTTATTGTGTTTCACCACTTTTGGGAGGCCAAATCGCGCGCGGGCCATCCCAATATTATTGAACTGTTCTAACCTGAAGATGGCTCTGAAGAGGGACCGGCGTTGCTTGGTGAGGCTAGGAGACTGGCTCAAGTCTGCCTGTTTTGAGAATGTACTGAGACTGTCTACAATGGCAACGCTTCATCAACAGAGAGTGATTCCGTGATATCCAGCTTCTACCTGTTGATGTGAGTACTATCCTCCAAGTGTCTGAGATTTGCTGGCCAAACGGAAGAGATTCTAATGTAGGCCAGCCATAATGACACGTAGTCTGTAAATACAGATGCAGGTCTTGTGTTTGTCTGGTCCAGTCCTGCTATTCTTTGTATAATAACAGTGATTTGAATTAGAGATCCTTAGCAGTAAAAGCTTTTGTTAGGACATTAATTTTTCTGTGACCTAACAATGCTTTTCAAGCCAAATTATTGCACTTCCTCTGGATCGCCAATGTTTGGCGTTTGGGCGGAATACAGCGTCAAATTTATTGGCATTCTCTATGGAACGTCAAATGTTGGCATGGAGTCCGGAAACCAGGGATGAAAGCTGAAAGCACCAAATTTGTGGCGGGGAAACTTGACACTTGCAGTAACGGGAACTAGGTGTGGACATACCCAGACTCGTGTTGTGTCAAAGTGATCATTTGTGGTCCATTCTATCCTGGATGGTGAGAGGGTGGGGGAAGCATCGCCCATCGCGGGTTCAATCCCTACCAGCGCTACGCAAGACGCAGGTGGGAGCAGCGGGCGACGGAGGGCCGTGTAGCAGGTGGGGAGGGGGAGGGGGTTATTCAGCATACGTAATGCGCTCATTGGGGGCGAGCTCACGTCTTGAATGCCTCCGAGGCGGACCACCCGCGGCCTTGGGCGCTATAGGAGCAGCAGCGGAACACCCACGGCTCCTCGGAGAAGGCAGTCATCCTGGTGGGTACCGGGTACCTGGCACCAGGCCACCTAGGGCACCTCAGAGAGTACCTCGGTGCCACATCGAGGAATCGACTTTGGATTTTGACGCTGCTGGCCCTTCGGCCCCTCGGCCGGCCGCTGTGGCGGTGACTTCGGCGGTGACGCGCGGTGATGCCGGGCCTTATCGATCAACGCGGTCCTCACGTTGGCGGAGCGGAGCGGCCGGGAGCAGCGCGTCCCCAGCGGGGGCGTCGCGGCCGGGGCGGTGGGGGCGGCGGGGGCAGATGAGTAGGATGCCTGGAGCCTGCGAGGGGTGGGGGCGCTGCGGGGGCGGGGGCGCGAAGAGGGCCAACCGCGATGGGGCGGGGGCGGCGTCGCGGGGGCGGCGATGCGGGGGCGGGGCCTGCCGGGACAGACTCGACGCGAATGTGCGCAGGACAGGCTTCTCGACAGCGCGGTCTGGGAGAGCGTGGCAGGGCGTGGCAGGGCGTGGCAGGGCGTGGGAGAGCACCGCGAAGCCGCGGGATAGGAAGCGCGTGGAGACCCAGAAGAGGTGGGGGAAGGGGGCGCCAGGCCAGGTTAGCCGTGTCGCAACGACGCTGGAAGAGGGAGGCTTCGCGCTCTCGACGGCCACCATTATGGAGATGCCAGAACATTGTTGGCGTGGCCGGGCGTGGCGGGCGGTGCAGAACTCTACGCACCCCTGCCGTAAATCTGACTGGCCACTTGGCCACCCCAGCAAGGCCCTGCAAGGCCCTGCCTCCGTGCATCCAGCCTGATTGCCTGTATATCATACGCGGTTCACCACATGTGTGCCGCGCTACCCCACTGTAAGCACGCCCTGTACTTTGTTGCATTCTTATTCCAGACGCCGGCAGCGTCGCTGTGTCGCGGCGCGTCGTCTACGCGATGGCAAGGCGCTGTCGCGGATACCCCGGCCGGCAGAGACCGCCCGGACGACCACCCGATGGCGGGGTATTTACAGGCTAAGTAAGTACCCCCTCCCCGCCACGCCAATCAACGCCGTCATCGCGGCCGTCATCAAGGTGACGGGTGGCCATGCAGGCCCGCACGACATCCTCGCGAGCGGTACAGTATCGAAGGAGCGAGAGAAAGAGAGAGGGGTGCGAGCGGTCGCAGCGCGGCAAAGCGAGAGGGAGCGAGAAAAAAAATATATGTTGGAGGGCGGAGCAGGAAGTTTGCGTGCAGTGTGACCAACAGCTCGAAACTTTTTCCCAGGCTTTTGTGCGGCCCGTGGCCGTGGCGTAGGCCGTGGCCGTCCGCTCGTCCGTGGCGAAACGATCAAGGGACGCCAGTGGCTCGGCAAAGTGTCAAAGTTTGAAAGGGAAATTTTCGGGGGCGAGTACTCGCGTGCGTCCTTGAACCCGGTTTAATACAACGGCATGTTTGTGGGACGGAATTGTTGAAATCTAGGTGCTTGACAAAAGTGGGGTCGCGAAAATCAGACGTGTAATAACTGTGACGTCTAAGCGTCTATGCGGCTCACTTGAAATCCGTAACTAGTCCGTAAAGCCGCAACCAGCCATGACACGAAGGGGGACGGGGAGCGAAGAGCCTGAGCCAGGCTTAGGCCCCTCTCCGCGCGTTGACAGCCAGGGCCGTGCTGGCCTGCAGTTTCCAGTCCATTGGCGTGCTGGGCCCTCGCCGGTGCGTGCGCGTGGCGTGGCGTGGCGTGGTCAGCCCTAGTCACGGCGCCACCGGCCGGCTCCCGCTTTTGCTTTAATTTTCCGGTCCGCCTGTAGCAGGCCAGGCAGGCGGGCAGGCAGTGCCCTGTGCGTCTCGCAGGCAGCGGCGCGCACGCCCGCGACACCGCCACGCCGCGGCCACGGCAGCGCACGGCCCCAGCGAGGCCCCGGCAGCGCTGGGCGTGCAGTGTAGTGATTGGCCGCGCGACCAGCAGGGAGCAGCACCGGCACCGCGACCACCGCGACCACCGGCCCCACGAGGGCCGCGAGGCGCCAACTGCCCCGCGGCCCGCGGCACGCCTTGCGTCGCGACGCCCCCGCCCGCGCCCCCCGCACGTCTCCGACGACGCCGCTCCCTGCGCGGAGCGCGTGTCGCCGCCCCGCGCCGCCCCGCCCCACCGCGTCGCCCCACCGCGTCGCCCATTGTTGCTGGCGATGGTCGTCGTCTCCGAGAACACCGCGGTGCGCACAGCCATGTGACCTAACCTCCCCGCCGGGCCGACATGAGGTCCAAGCCCATCGCGAGGCGGGCGGCTCTGGGGGACCAGGCCGACCAGGGCGCAGGTGAGTCGAGTCGTTGTTTTGTTGGCCGTCGTCGGCGTCGTCTTGCCGAGGCCCGCCGCCCCGCCGCGGCGACGACACGCCGATGAAAGGAAAAACGATCATCACCAACTTGTTTCCCGAAGGGGAATATAATGGGGATGTGACTGCACATATAATCCCGATGGGCCCGGAGCCCGGTCTGGTCTGTCAACACAACGGATGTTGCGATGTCATGGCACATCGCCTGGAGGAGCGAGCGGGACAGGGCCGGACAGGGCCCCATTCAAAGGCGACGTATTTCAAGGAACGGCGACCGAACTCGGCGCGCGCCGCCTGCAGCAGCCTGCAGCAGCCTGGCGAGACAAACGTTAAAAAGCATCATCCAGCACCCCTCCCCCTCCGGTCTCCCCTTCCCCTTTGCTCTTGCCTCTTCCCTGTGTTCGCACTCGCCTGCAGGCTGCTTCCGAACAGCGCTCCGTCTCTCTCGCACCCCTGCGGCAGGCCCCATGAGTGCGAGGGGGGGAGCGACTGTCCGGAAGCAGCCTGCTGCCGGCCGGCCGGACTCCGAGGACTCCGAGCGGGCAGTCCGCAGCACGAACATCGAGGGCGATTCGAGCACGGCCAGCGACACGGCTGTGACACGGTGTGACAGGAAGCGGCGTGGCGGCCGCGGCTCCGTGACCAGGGCCCCGTCACGACTGTTACTGGCAGACGGCTTCGCGGGGGAAGGGAGGAGGGGGGAGAAGGGGTCAGGGCAATGAGTGCCAGGGAGCGCGTGGGGACAAATTGTGTGTTCATTCATGGCCCTGCTGCGCCGGGCCTCTTCGTCTCTAGAACGATTGGCTGGTCCCAGTCGCGGTCCGTTAAGAGGATACCCAGTGGAAACCGCGGTTGGCCGCATTGCGACGATGCCAAAAGTCCCTGCAAACCTCGCTGCCAACACCTGCAGACGGTCGCTCGGCCGACCCCGACTGCGCTTCAGCCAGGTACAAATTCACGCCGCTAATCCCTGACGCCGCGTGAGTCAGTCCGCGCACGCACGCGACGCCTCGCCGCATTAGCATGCGTCGCTCTGACTCCCTTAGACACCCGCGCGACGCCGCGCGAGTGCGAGAGAGACGGAGCGGCGCGCCGAGCGCCGGGGAGGTAGGCAGCCCTTCGGGCGCGCGTGCGCTGCGGCTGCGTCGCGTTCCTTGTTTGCCGCCTCGACGTCGCCGTGCTCGACGTCGCCGTGCTCGACGTCGCCGTGCTCGACGTCGCCGTGCTCGACGTCGCCGTGCTCGACGTCGCCGGGCTGTGTAGCGCTGCCCAGACAATGGCCGCCGATACGGCCCTGTCGGCCCTGGTGCTGCGTCCCGTCCCGTCCCAGTGGGCGTCTCGCGCCTCGCTACCGGGCCGGGGCGGGGCCGGGCGGGCCGGGACGTCGTAAAGGGGCGTGCACTGATAGCCGTCCGGCCCTAGGCGGCCCCGGCGGCAGCGCTCTGGTCGTCGTCGTCGTATCTGGACCCGTTTCGCGCCCTTTTCAGCTGGCAGTGCTTCGCGCGAGTCGTGCCTCGTCGGGGACGCACCGCTAAAGAAATGCTCTCGGTCTGAGGAAATGCTCTCGGGCTGAAGAAATGATCTCGGGCTGAAGAAATGGTCTCTGGCTGAGGAAATGCTCTCGGGCTGAAGAAATGATCTCGGGCTGAAGAAATGCTCTCGGGCTGAAGAAATGCTCTCGGGCTGAAGAAATGCTCTCGGGCTGAAGAAATGCTCTCCGGCTGAAGAAATGCTTTTGGCCGCTGTCTGCCGATGTCGCCGCGCCGCCTCACGCACCGCCGTGCTCGGCCAGCCGCGGCGCCGCGGCCAGCCCGACGACGCCGTCAAGGCGGTGACGCGGTGACACGGCGCGTGACGCTATGCGGCTCCATCGAGAGGTGTCTCTCTAATGAATTCGGTACCGCGGCGGTGCGCTCCTGGAATGCGTTGCCCTGCAGGCTCATTCCCATAGTCTGTCTCTCTTGCACCCAGTTGGAACTCCCCGTGAGTGTGAGAGAGACAGCGTCAAAATGTATCGTCGATTTGGCGTTTCGACCACCCGTCTCGCGCTGCGCTTTGTGTTGATTGGTCATCGCGGTGGTGCAGTCGGACGCAGAGACGCTGATGCACCATGAACCGCATCGCGGCCGCGTTATGTGGCGGCACGCCTCGGGAGCGCGCCGCCCCGCCCCGCGGCGGCGACAGCCAGGAGAGCATCACATTCCAGCACTGCAGCGCGGGTACACTGCAACTCCTCTGAGGAGCAGTGTTATCGCTGAAGTAGGCAAAGCTAAACATCGATGCCGAAAGGGTTGCCGACTCTTTGGAGTGGCTCGGCGGCTGGCTATAGACACTACCACAGTGCTTGGAGGTCTTGGAGGTCTCTGAGCAGTGCCGTGCCGCCGAGGGCCCCACTCCACTTTTGGCGCACGCGTATCGACATCTCCGGCCGAGGCGCCTCGTCGCGTGACGGACGCTACTGGCCGCGGGACTTGCAAGGCGGGGCGGGGCGGGGCGGTGATGACGGAATGGCATGTCGGTGTTGTGTCCTGATAAGGGACGGTACGCCAGGAAGTCGGTCGGCGTCGGCCATCGGCGTCGGCGCGGCGTCGTCGTCGTCTGCTGCGCCACTCGCCGCCGCCACTGCCCACCCCTAGGCCATCAGCCCTCCGGCGGGCCTGAGTCGTTTAGCCGCCCGCCACACCTCGCCGTGCCCGCCCGCCCCCCGAGGCCCGGGGGCCGTCCGTAAGCGCGAACGCTGCTGCCAATCGAAAAATTCCCACGATGCAAAAAGAGTTCATTCTGTCTTTTGGACCGTTTCGGACAACTTCTGGAGATCAGAGTCCAGGTACATTGAGATTGGCAACCGATTCGACACCGGTGCATCGCGGAAATTTTTGTCAACTTCTGCGGCAACACTGCGACGGTCTGCCTGATACCACCCAGGGCTGAGAAATGGCGGCCCGTCCGCGTGGAGGCCGCAGCCGCAAAGGCCGCGGGGCCGCGGACTCGGAATGGCATCGCATCGACCTCGCCTCGGACCTCGCCGACCTGGCCATGGCGTCGCGTCCTGGCGGCCTGGCGGCGGGGAATGGCCGTGACAGCCCGACGGCCGACGGCACGGGGAGGGCACTCCGAGGAGCCGAACCGAAAAATGGCTCGCGGAGCACGCAAAGCAGTGCCGGCGGCGGGATGGGTTCCCTTGCCCCGCGTCGATCGACAGCCGCCGCCTGATTCATCGCTCTGTCTCTGTCGCGCCCTTGCGGCGTGCCGGCGTGCCGCACGGGTGCGAGAGAGACAGAGGCGAGCCTTGAAGGCGGGCGCGACGAACGCTAGCAACGCGAAGAACGCCCTCCGGAAAGCGATGGTGACCGAATGGCGGACATTACTCGCGGCGTTCCGAGTAGGCCTTCGCGTCGTTGAGGCTTATCTCGGACACGAAGAAAATCCTCGAGGAAAACACGGCTATTTTTATCTTCGCCATTCCTCGGCGCTTTTCCGTAGCCGCGCCGCGGGCTCTGGGTTCGAGCACCGCCGGCGTGCTGGCTTTCCTCGAGGACGAGCTTGGAGGGGACCGAGGGGACGGCCACCACGGCGGCGCGCCGGGGCCCAAGTGGCAGTGTGCGTGGCAGAGGCCGCGAGCGAGTGCGGAGCAGAACGGCACGGCCGGCAGTAACGATAGCGATCTGGGCCGCGGTCTCTCTCGCACCCAATCACTGGCCCGGCCATCCATCTCACTCGCTCTGCCAGTGCTATCGGCCACCACGGCGGGGCGGGGCGGGGCGGGGCGCCTCGTCGTCTTGGGTCTGGCGGCGCGGACTCGGCCCAGCCCAACGGATTTCGATTCGCTGGATATCTACTCAGTGACTCCCCCGCCTTCTTATCCTTTCTCGCGGACGGTCCCCGAGCGTCGCGCTGCCGAGGGGCCGACGCCGTGCTCGCCGCCGCAGTGTGATTCAGACGCCTTGGTTGCTCTCTCTGTCGCACTCACGGTGCGTCGCATGCGGGTGCGAGGAAGACAGCGACGGAGCTCCTTCCAGCGTGCAGGTCCGCGCTGTCCTGCTGGCGCGTCCTCGGGGACGGTTCGAATCGAATCGACTTGAAATCGGCTTGATAATGCGATCGGATTGTGTATTCTGCGAGTGGGCGGCTGCTGGGGAAGGAACGGACGCGTTTCACACATTGTAAGCCCCCCCCTCCCCCTCCCGGCAGCGCTCCTCCGCAGAGCCATGAGAACATCAACGCCACGCCTGGCCTGCCCATTAGGCGCCTGGATGTGCTACTTGTGGCCACAGTGTTGCTTCAGTGCCGGCGGACACGTCCCTCTGCCCTCTGGGTCACCAAGCAGTCCGCCGCGCAGGCCAGGCCGACCGACCGAACGCCAGAAGCCCCGCGTCGAGCAGCCAGCGCCTGGCGTGGCGTGGCGACCAATTTCGGTGTCGTGTTGCAAAGTGCAAGCAAAGCAACTACTGCCAGAGTGCCCTGCCGCCGCTGCATTCGTCGTAGCGCTGCCACGTAGATTTTTGTCGTTTCACGCCTTATTGTACTCCTTCCTGCTGCGGGAATGAGGCAAATTGCGGAAGTGAAATTGTTTCTCGCGACGGCCGCGCCGGAAGGCGGGCTTTTTAAAATGCGGCGGGACTTGCCAGGAGGGCGGCAATCCTCGGCAATCGCGGCCGAAATGCCCGTCCGAATGGCGCCAAAGTGATGCAGCGTCCCTCTAAATCCAGCGCCTTATCGTGCAGTGCAGACCCAAACTGTCCACTACTGCAGACGCGTTCGTGTGTGTGTGTGTGTGTGTGTGTGTGTGTGTGTTCGTGCTGGACCGTCGTAAAGCAAGCAGGTGTGTAAGCGGGCGTCGAACCCTTTTGTCGTGTTGTACCTTCGTCCCTCGTCCCTTCTCTCTCTCTCTCTCTCTCTCTCTCTCTCTCTCTCTCTCTCTCTCTCTCTCTCTCTCTCTCTCTCTCTCTCTCTCTCTCTCTCTCTCTCTCTCTCTCTCCATGCTGCGCGTTTTTCGCGATTCAAGCAACCGGCCTTGTTTCGTCTCGTGTGGTTATGGTCCCAACGTGTTTTGACGCCGAAGTAGCTTCTTTCCTTTTCCTTGGCCACCCTCGTCGTTTTCTGTAGACTTTGCGTGTTGTTCTCCATATGAGCGACCGCACTTCACCCAACCGACCGAGAAGGTGCGTTTCAAGGTTGTTTCATTGACCATTCTAGTATTTTCCTCTCGATATTAGTTTGCGTGGTTTCGTTGCGTCTTTGACGTTTTTCTCTCCAGTCCCAGTCAGACGCGGCCAAGACACTATCGCCACTTCAGATAGATAAAGCAGATGCGCCGGCTGCTGGCGATCCAGTGCGGCAGCGTGGGACTCGGAGGAGCGTTTTATTTTTAGTCCAACGTTGTTTTGATCCACGGTGCCACAAGCAGACGAGCGCATCTTTTTTCCTCATGCGTGAATTTTGGTCCGAGTGTGTGAAAAGAAAAACCGAAACCGTATTGAAGAGCTCAGAAAACGTGTTCCACGTAACGAGCGCGAACAATTTCTTCCCTGTTTCATTTTGCAGTGCACGAACGGTCAGGGTTATGAAGTCGTCCCATCATGAATGAGCTAATAGGCGACAGGAGGCGGTTCGCAGAGCGGCCGCCAGAGAGCGCTGGGCGTGGCGGGATGCGCGCGCGACGCTGTTCTCGCGGTGCCGGCTTTGCCTTGGCTTCGCCAGGGGCGGGCGGGGCGGGGCGGGGGGTGGTTCCCGATGGTTCCGGTGGCTCATCCATCACGAGGACCGTACCTTGTGTGTGTAACGCTGTAAATGCAGCGATGTCGCTTGTAAAACGGTCGAATTAGCATAGCGCGGCACGCGCCTGGCGGTCCGGCTCCGTGCTTTCGCCGCTCTGTCTCTCTCGCACCCCTTGGGGACGCCCCTTCGGGACGCCCCTCGAGTGCGAGGGAGACAGAGCGACGAAGGCCTGCTGGCCGTGTGGCGAGGGGAGGACGCAGCGACACTGCTGAGTGTCTCTGCTTGATCGATCGTCTCGAAGCCCGCTACGTTCGCAACGTAATTGAATGAGACTACTTCATGTCAGACAAAAAAATAACAACACGCGCCAACAAACGAAACAACGAAAACAAAACATCGAAAGCAACGTTTCTTTTGCATCCTTGGTAACGTTCTGCTTTTGGCAGGAAAGGTCTCCACTTTGCGTCTTTTACTGCGGGTCAGTTTTACTGGCTCAAAATTCACTTAGTCTACACCATTAACACGAGAAAAAGTGACGGAATGCTTGGAAATGTCAGTCAGTTGGAGGTTTTTGACAGTGCCCGGGACAGGAATGCGTCGTCCTCGGTCGTCTGCTCATCAGCACTGTCGCGGCGGAAGGCTGCCGGCGAAAGGGGTTTAATCTTCATATGGTATAAAGAGGCCAGGAAGGATGCGGCCTGGCGGTCCATCGCGTATCTATTTCATCTCGGCCGCTTTGTCCTCCTGGCCTTTTGTTCTTGTGATTGGGAGGATCGTCGCGAGGCCCTCGACCTCGCGCAGCCTCGCGTCTCGCGTCCGCCGGCAGGTGTCTGTCTTGTCTACGCGTTGGGGGTGCGAGGGAGAGGCTCCGTTTTCCGATAGGTATGGGTTAGGACATTTTCCCTTAGCTCCCACATTTCTGTCCAGCCTTATTTTTCGATCTCTATCCTCGACGTTTTCACTGGTCTTGGTTCCAAAGTAGTCCAATAGAGGAAAAAACCGTCGCCGTAATTGGAGATGCTCTTCTGAATTTTCGATCTGCAATCATTCATTTTTTATGCGATTTGTGCGTTGGTTTGGACAGTGTCTCTTGTTCTTGGGCTACGAGAGCGCAAGGAAACAAACTCATATCTGAGAGGGATGGCTGGTAGTTTGTCGCATGATTGTACCCGGCAGGGAATTCGCGTTTCACCGTGTGCTTGCTGCTGGCTCGGCCAGGTCGCGATAAAAGAAGCAAATGATACCCCTGGACGACTACTACTATCGACGTGGCACGTTTTTTCGCCGTTTAATTCCTTTTTTCCTTCGTGACGCCTGGCGAGTCTTCCGCCGCCAGGCCAGGCCGGGCGAAAGTGATTACAACCGGTGACGTCGGCGGTGGTTTCGGAGGGAGCGATCCAAACAATGGTCGTTTCGCCGCTCTGTCCTTCTCGCACCGCCTACCGGACGCCCCGTGAGTGCGACAGAGAAGAGGCTCTTCGGAAGCACCCCGCGGCTGTTGCGCCGCCGATCTTGGCGGAGGCCGTGACGTTTTCGAGTGGATGCAAGTCCGGGATCCTGGGGGACGTCCTGAGGGACGTCTTGAGGGACGGGGCGAGCAGGGGGAGCCTGCTTGGCCTGCCCGGCCTGCCGCGGCCACCGGGGCAAGGCAGGCAAGGCAAGACGAGCTTCCGGAAAAGACAATGCGCGCTTTCTGGCTCGCCCTGCCGCCCTGTCCTTCTCGCCCTGCTCCGCGCGACACGCCCCCGACACACACACACACACACACACACACACACACACACACACACACACACACACACACACACACCGACACGTCCTCGAAGCAGCACGAGCGACTTGCTGCGCAAGCTCAACTGGAACGCTACAACATTACTTTAAACATCTGCTTGCCGTCGTACTTTCCTTGTCGTTCGTCTTGGCCCCTTGGGTGGGCGTGGTGCGGGACACGCCCTGCCTCTACACACACACACACACACACACACACACACAGCACGCACATTATTGCACCGTCCGAACTGGGTGCCGTTGTCTAACCTCGGACGTATCCCTGGCGTATGAACGGTAAGGCACGTGCCCGGGGGGTGTTGTAACGGTCGCGGGGCGGGGCGGGGCGGGGCGGAGCGGTGATGGGCACGGCGGTGGCGTCCTTGGCCCTGGCGGTGATGCTGCGCGCTTCACGGAAGTCGCGGGGCTGTCGCGGGTTGCGCCACTGATCGCCTCGCCTCGCTTCCTCGACCGGAAGTGAGTCAGTGGCCGGTATCTCCGATTCTCCGGCCGCGGCGCCGCGGTGGAGGAAGCACAGATAAGGACAGACCGCGACCAGGAGCGCGGCGGGAATCCCCGCGAACCGTCGTAAGAATAGCAGAGAGTCTCTAATTTTTGGGTGGTTTCAATAACGGCGCATCGCGCGGCCTTGCGGGCTACGCGGTGCTACTCGTGCTACGCGGTGACCCCGTTTCACCTCGGGCCTCGCCCGGGCCTCGCCCCGGCACGTCACGGGCCCCGCCGTGCTGGCCGCGACGCGACGAGCCGCGACGCGATAAGGAGATAGGTGCGCTTATCGGCGAGTCGCGATGCGCGGCGCGCGGCCAGTGTGCGCTCGCACCTGCCCCGCGACACACCTGTCCAGTCCGCGCCGCGCCCCGCCGCGCCACGCCGCGCCCCTCGCTAGCCATGGCGCCCAAGGCCGTGTTCGCGGCCCGCAAGGACGACGAGCGCATCGACCGCTGGATCTCGTGCATCAAGTACACGCTGTTCTGCCTCAACATCGTGGGCTTCCTGTTCGGCGCCGCCATGTTCGGCATGTGCATCTGGATGCGCAAGGACCCCGGCATGGAGGACTGGGTGACGCGCCTGGACCTGTGGAGCTTCTACTCGGGCGTGTACGTGCTGCTGACGGGGTCGTTGCTCGTGCTGGTGTGCACGTTCGTGGGCTGCTGCTCGGCGCTCACCGAGAACCAGGCCATGCTGCGCATCTTCGCCGCCACGCAGGCCGTGTGCTTCCTGTTCGGCCTGGCCGGCTCGGCCGTGCTGCTGGACTACTCGACGTACAACTCGCACATCCAGCCCATCCTGCGCGACGTGTTCCGGAAGCTCATCATGAACTCGCAGTACGACGACGTGAGCTACGTGCTGAACCAGGTGCAGGAGTCCGTGTCGTGCTGCGGCGCCGACGGCCCCTCCGACTACCTGTCGCTGCGCAAGCCGCTGCCCACCGAGTGCCGCGACACCGTCACCGGCAACGCCTTCTTCTACGGCTGCGTGGAGGAGCTCACGTGGTTCCTGGAGGAGCGCAGCGCCTGGCTGGCGGGCATCAGCATGACGCTGTGCCTCGGCCACGTCGTCAACGTGGTGCTCGCCCTGCTGCTCGTCAAGGCCCTGCGGCAGGAGGAGAGTCGCGGCTGAGGCCGATGCGCGCCGCCCGCCATGCCGCTTCCGGCGGCAAAAGTGAAAATTCGAGTGATTCCAACTTGAGAAGACAGTGGTGTGGTTTCTAGTGCCGGTTTTCCACGCTAGTGCGTTTCTTTTTCTTTCCGATCGGCCCGTGCTGGTCGGCCAGTGCGCTGCGCGCCGCGCGGAGCCTCGGCGGCCCAGAGTTGTGAAACTGATAACGAAGGCGCGTTATCTCTCGGCCGCACAGGTGAAGTGTTCTGTTCGGCCACGCCGCGCCGCGAGGTGCACTGCAGCACCGCCCAGTGATTCCAGTGTGGTTCGTTTTCCGGCAGCCAATTTGTCAGTATCAATGTCGAAAAAATTACCAAAAAATACCTGAATTTCGTTATCTTGATTAACTCCTCCGAAGCTATTATACTCTAGTTTCCCTAGCATACGCCATGTCAAGTCCTCTCTTTGTATCTTCGCATTATTTATAATGATTTCTCAGTGGTTGCTGTCCACAATACAGTCGAATAGTGCCCCGTAAGTGAATCGGAGTTACCGTGCCGCGTGCTTCACGGCCCAAGAATCTGGGTGTGCTCGTCTTATCTCGAGGGAGGGGAGGGGGAGCTTTCGCCGGGACAGCGGCACGTCGCGGCCACGCCCAAAACTGACACATATCATAACTGCCTTTATGCAAATAGACTCCGAAGTGACTGCCGACGGTCGCGGCTCCAAGTTGAATTATTAATCGACCACCCGGACGCCTCCGCTAGGGCCGCGCCGAGCTCCTGCGAGAACAATATCGATTTATTTCCGATCACGGCATTACTATTCGCCGCGTATTGTTAATATTTATTCATAACGCTGCTGTCTTGCTGTTTGAGAAAGACGCGCGAAGCTTCCCCAGTGTTTCATTCTCTCGTTCTCTCCTGATTGGACCGGCCTTGTATTATTCTCGAATCTGTTTCGAGAGCACCGCTTCTGTGTCCTTGCCCGAAACGGCTGTTGTGACAGGACGATCCCACAACCCGAATGTAAAGCAAACTGTTAAAAACATAACTGTAAAGTTTTGCTCTTCCCTCTGCGGTGAGCTTCGGGGTAGAGTCTCCTTCTCAGTTCCCATCCTATGTGTGTTAAGCCAGTTTTAAGTTATTTTAGTAGTAGTGTCTCGTGTATCCCTCCATTTTGTACATTTCATTGTTATTAAAGGTGCCATTTTAAAACAATTCTTAGTTTATTTTTGTCTGCAAGTGTGTGTACCTTTTAGAAAAATGTGTCAATGTGTTCGTTTTTTTTTGTTATTTGTTTTCTTGCTTGAATATTTTAAGGCCAGTATCAGCGGGCGGTGGCGCCGCGACGCTGTGCGTGCCATTCCCCCAATCTCTGTGCATCGGGCTCTGCCAGGCTCTGCCAGGCCTCGCCCTGCCTGCCGGCCTCGCCGGCCCTGACCCACTCATTCAGCCTTGAGTAATTGGCGGAGCAAACTGTTCGCCTCGGCCGGCCACCCTGCCGGCCCGGCCACTGTGCCGCGGCGCCACGGCCCAGTCCACGGCCCAGTCCACGGCCCAGCGGGGCGCCTCGCCCGCCTCGCCCTCGGCCCTTTTAGCGCCACGGAGCACCTGCACGCCCGCACCATTATCACCATGATGCCCTCTAGCGATTTCATCATGAGCCCATAAAATGTCTGAAAAAAAAATCAATTTAATTTTAAGCTTTGTTTAGTTTTGGCTGAGAATTCTTTCACGCTTGTGGTGATGAGATAGGACCAAGACGGAGCCACTGCGCTGGCGTGGCTGGCGCCTGCGATGGGCAGGGTAGGCAACCCAGTGTACTGCCCTGCCTCGCATCGAGCAAGTGCGCACTTAAACTTCAACCTGCTCTACTTGCAGCTGCGAAGCTCCAGGGAAACATTGTCAGTCTGTGTAAATTTCTCGTTTTCATAGTTATTTTCCAATTTTTTAAAATTTTATAACTGAACCACCATTTGACGTGCTAATGTAGCGGCGGGCGGGCCCCCACAGCTGGACGCGCTAACACTAACCGTTGGCTTTGTTGAACTTCGATGGTCGTGGGGCAGCCTGCATGCGATTCTCCCGTCTCCACGTGCGACTGACTCCTGCTCGACCTGCTGCTTGCCATCACTCAGCACGCCTCCCTTCCCCGATTTCGGCAATGTCACGTGTGAGATTTTTCGCCCGGCCGCTGCCGGTGGCTGCCGGTGGCTGCCTGCCCTGCCGCCGGGCGTGTTTGCGGTTGCTTCACAGACACCGGCGTGTGACACCTAAACGCCACCTTGGAACACCGACCGCCTGCCGACCGCCCCGCCCCGCCCGGTCGTTCGCCCTTCTTTACGAGCTCACATGTCACCTTGGCTGTCCCCGCGCGGCCCTTCCTTGGCTCGCCCACGCCGCGATGGATATTTTACCGCGAGTGTTTGAAATGATTCCTGAGGTCGTAAAGTTCGCTGTCCTGTTCCCGGAAAGACAAGCCGCCCTGGCTGCAAAGGGGTGGCGTCTGCCTGCGTCTGCCTGCGTCTGCTGGAATGGCTTCGCCCTGCCCGTTTTCGTCGCTCTCGCACCTCTGCGGGACGACCCATGAGTGCGAGAGAGACAGAGCGACTAGGCGGCTAGGCTAGGCCGGCCTCCCTTTCCAGGAACGCGGTGTGTTTTGGCGGGGCGGCCGCCGAGCTTTAACGCCTTTCAGATGTGCGTCGAGGATCGAGGGGATGGAGGCCACGGACGAAAGGCCGCCACTGGCGCAGGGCGTCAGGCCCTGCAAAAAAAAATAGATTAGGGATAGTTCTGCACTCTCTGGGTGTGTACGATTATATGAAAAGTAAGCACCTTTGCTTCAACAATCGGATGGCATTTTTCTGAAGTACTGACTTATCAGTTAACTTTCAAGAAAAGAAGGTGAGGGAAATCGAAAATGAATGATTCAGAAACGCCGAAGCTCCCCGTCGAACGCGACCGCCGCCCCGCCGCGTCCTCTGGGGATGTTGTTTCTGTCTCACGAAAACCAATAATAATCACCATACCGGAGAGCGCGTTTCCCGACCCGTCTCTCTCGCACTCGCGGGGCGTCTCGTGGCGGTGCGAGAGAGGCAGAGCGACGAAGCCCACTGCTTGGAATCGGCCCGCGCAGCCGAAGCTATTTTTTTTTTCTTTTCGATATGAATAATGGGCAAGACGCTGCCTTCCCTGTGTTTGCGCGACGCTTCCGTCACAACACCCTCCGATCGCCTTCATTACCGATCAATGACTGTTTCAATGGCGGGGCGGGGCGGGGCGGGGCCGTGTCCCCGGGGCGGGGGGTCCACCTCCGCCCCATTCAATCATTCATGCACAGTTTCTTCCAACAAAACCGCGGCGTTCTCACGGATCGAACCGCCACCGCCGCGTCGTTTTCTCTCTGTCCCTCTCTTTCTTTCCCTCCGATTGGTCCGAGACGTGACTCCGTCGGACTCCGTCCAGCGGCACTAACGGCGCCACAGTGTCGCAGCGAACCAGCGGCGACTCGCCGTGAAAGGTGCAATTGCAGTCCGGCGAGGGGCACGCGGCTGCATTGTGTCCGCGGTAATCTGCATGTGCAGCTTGCTTTGGAGGGCGGTGGGAAAACAAAGAACGAAATAATTAACAATTACAAAATAGACTATAGAAGTGTGAAAGGGGCCGACGATTGGCGAGGCTGGACACGAAGTAGTGGGGGAGGGGGGAGGGAATCATGAATGCATTATCGGAGGCAGGCTATCTGTGCAACACAGTGGGGTGGCGGCCCGCTGGCGGCTCATTGCGATGCGAGGGAAGGGAGGGAGGGGGGGGGGGTAAACTGTCTTACTGTCGGAGCTGCGCAAGCGGTGTGTCATATCACGCGGGGCGCGTCGTGGACCGCTGTACAGCTGTTTTATTTACTGGCCCATAGCCGCCGGCGATCAACCTTCAATTATTGGGGTATTTTGGCATTTTTCCTGAGAAATTGGTCTCCAAGGGGTAACCAACTCAAGATTTTCATATTCACTGATTATATTTAGAGTATGATTACATGTGATTTCTTTTGATTATTTTATTATTTATCACTGATTATAGGATGTTATTATGTTGATTTGGGAAATATTGGGGATTTGCGCGCCGACCTCGGAAAGCTGTTAAAGTGTCGGAAATTGGTGACTTTGGTGACTTTGGTCAGTCACTGCGTCAAATCTAGTTGCGGTCATAGGCCTTCCTCGACGCCTTACTATTCTGAAGACCCTACTCTTTCATGCCCTGCCTTGGGAAGGCTTTGACCGCTGATAGTTTGGGAGCAGTGGTCTCGCAAAAATGGTCAAAAAGTGAATGAACTTCAGAAAGTTACCGTTTTTGCTGACTTTGAGCGGTCACTGCATTCAATTTAGTTGCGGTCAAAGGTCTCCCTCGACGCCTTACTATTCTGAAGGCCCTACTCTTTCATGCCTTGCCTCGGGAAGGCTTTGACCGCTGATAGTTTGGGAGCAGTGGTCTCGCAAAAATAGTCAAACAGTGAATGAATTTCAGAAAATTGCCGTTTTTGCTGACTTTGAGCGGTCACTGCATTCAATTTAGTTGCGGTCAAAGGCCTCCCTCGACGCCTTACTATTCTGAAGACCCTACTCTTTCATGCCCCGCCTCGGGAAGGCTTTGACCGCTGATAGTTTGGGAGCAGTGGTCTCGCAAAAATGGTCAAAAAGTGAATGAATTTCAGAAAATCGCCGTTTTTGCTGACTTTGAGAGGTCACTGCATTCAATTTAGTTGCGGTCAAAGGCCTCCCTCGACGCCTTACTATTCTGAAGACCCTACTCTTTCATGCCCCGCCTCGGGAAGGCTTTGACCGCTGATAGTTTGGGAGCAGTGGTCTCGCAAAAATGGTCAAAAGTGATTGAATCCCCGAAACTATGATTGTCATTTCATTGGATGATGTTGATTATTTCACTGATTACCAACTAGACGTGCAATGATTATCTTGAGTTGGGTACCCCTTGTTAGTCTCTGTCTTACTCGGAGTGAGTCTTCCACTTTACGGCGGAAGTTATCTTCCCCCGGAAACGAAACCTTCCCACGTTGTCACTGGTTTCGTTGAACATCTTACGAGTTCAATCCCTTTCCGCTTGATGCTCCTTTTCCTCCCATCCGCCTCTCGCTTCTTCTCTTTCTCTTTTTGCGCGGAATGAATCCCAACTTTGCGTCGCTGGTGAAAGGTAAATGATTCCCGCGATCTGTCCCTGTCCCCGCCAGCTGCGATTCAAATAAAGATGTATCGCGCGGCAGCTGATTCTCTGGCGGGGGGTGCGGCGTCGTGTTGCCGCGGAGGGTGTGGATCGCGTCCATCAAACGCACACACGCCTGCCTGCCAGCTCGGCCTGCCCGGCCCGCCCGCCGCCTTCCTCCGCTCCTTTCACCGCTCGGCTCGTCCGTCTGGAGTGTGGGGCGGTCCGCCGTCGCGGTGGTCACTGCAGCAGATTGTCAGCCAATACGCGTTCAATTAACGCCGCCGAAAGGGGAGGGGGAGGGGGATGACGCATGGGATGAGCGACACGCAACAAAGGGTGTGCACGGCACCGAGCACGGCACGGCATGCAGTGCGGACAGATGTGCCATTTGGATTATGTCACGGCGAGGCTGAGCCCGCCGCGCTCCGGCCAGTGCGGCCCGATTCAGTCGCCGTCTCTCTCGCTCCCCACGCGGCACGCGCCGTGAGTGCGAGAGAGACAGAGAGAGCCTGCAGGCTTGGCCAACAACACCGCCACACTGTGTGTGCCCACGCGGACCGTGGGTGTTGTTGGGGTGGGGACACGCACAAATTACATCGATATGGCTCTGTGAAGAGTTGGTAATATCCCATTCTTACTTTGCTGCGTCTGTCTGTCTTGCCAACATGGACCAAGTTTGACAAAAAAAAGGCTTATTTTGGGGTCATATCGTCATCATTGCGACTTCCGTTCTTCGCGGTGGCCTGTCCCTTTCCGAGGAACTGGGGAAGCGCGATGACACCGCGAGTGGCCGGGCACTCATCGCAACGCCTATCTGCGATCGATAGTGATGATTCGCTGCCGTGGGCCTGGGCCTCTGGGCCTCTGGGCCTCTGGGCCCGGCACGCTGGGCCTGGCTGGGGAGGGGCTGCAGGCGTGACACACGTCCGGCCCGACCCGCCCCAGCAGACTGATTCCGAGAGCCGTCGCTCTGTCTCTCTCGCCCTCACGGTGTCCCCCACAGG